GCTGATGGCTCCTACGGTCCTAAAGTGTTGCAGCCCTAAACCCGAAGCCCTAAACCCTAAACCCTAAACCCTAAACCCTAAAAACTAAACCCTAAGCCCTAAATCCTAAACCCCTAAACCCTAAACCCCTAAACCCCTAAACCCTAAACCCTAAACCCTAAACCCCAAAACCCTAAACCCTAGATCCTAGACCTTAAACCAAAAAGCCACATTGTCGACAGCACCTTCTTCATCACGCAGCCTGCCGACTGCACAGAAGCCTCTGGCCTCCGCTTTGCAAGGGGCGCCCCTTACCCTAAGCCCAAAGCCCAAAGCCCCAAACCCTAAACCCTAAACCCTAAACCCTAAACCCTAAACCCTAAACCCTAAACCCTAAACCCTAAACCCTAAACCCTAAACCCTAAACCCTAAACCCTAAACTTAAACCCTAAACCCTAAACCCCACACCCAAAACCCTAGGCTTCAGGTTTCAGGGCCGGCTAAGACAACAGCAGCAAGGTTTCGGCTTCAAAGAGGCCTATAACCCTTAACCCTAAACCCTAAGTCCTAAACAATCATAAACCCTACCTTAAACTCCAAACCGTAAATCCGAAACCCTGGCGTCTTGAGGGTTTTTGGGGAAGCTCAAGATGCTCAAACAAGAGGGGCCATTTCGGTTTTAGTTATTTATGAGTTTAGGGTGTACAGGGTTTAGGGATTAGGATTTAGGAATTGGGAACCTAGGGATTCAGGAGTTTAGGGTTTATAGGGTGTAGGGATTTAAGAGTTCGTGAACAGAAGCAAGAGGCTTTGTCGACGTGCTACTGCTGCGACACTCGCCGCCACCTCCCAGCCATGAGCTGAATATTCGCAATGAGTCGGGCTTAGCGGTAAAGCCTTAGAGATTGAGGGTGTAGCATGGGAACCCTAAACCCTAATCCCTAGTCCCTAAACCCTAAGCCCTAAACCCTAAACCCTCAACCCTCAACCCTAAACCCTAAACCCTAAACCCTAAACCCTAAACCCTCAACCCTCAACCCTCAACCCTCAACCCTCAACCCTCAACCCTCAACCCTCAACCCTAAACCCTTGAAGGGAACCCTGACAACCAACCCCCAGAAGCCCCACTCCCCAGAAGCCCTCAAACGCCGAGAGCCGGCCTCTGGGCCTCTCCTGAGAAGTGGTAGTTGGTAGGCCTAGAACCCCAAACCCTACACCCTAAACCCCTAACCCTAAACCCTAAACCCTAAACCCTAAACCCTAAACCCTAAACCCTAAACCCTAAACCCTAAACCCTAAGCCCTAAACCCTAAACCCTAAACCCTAAACCCTAAACCCCTAACCCTAAACCCTAAGCCCTAAACCGTAAACCCTAAACCCCAAGACCCTAGTGTTAGTAGGCCTGGCGCGCTGAAAGCTTAGGGGGGCTTACGGCCCCCTTTGAGGCTCTCAGAAGTTGGTAGGCAAAGCAGCTTCGGGGCTCTCACGGCCCTTTAGAAATTTGGGAAAGCTCAGAGGCACTGCCTCGCTTGGGGGCTTGCGGCCCCTTTGAGGCTCTCAGAAGTTGGTAGGCAAAGCAGCTTCGGGGTCTCACGGCCCTTTAGAACTTGGGGAAAGCTCAGAGGCACTGCCTCGCTTGGGGGCTTACGGCCCCTTTGAGGCTCTCAGAAGTTGGTAGGCAAAGCAGCTTCGGGGTCTCACGGCCCTTTAGAACTTGGGGAAAGCTGAGAGGCACTGCCTCGTTGGGGGCTTAAGGCCCCAAAGCAGCTTCGGGGTCTCACGGCCCTTTAGAACTTGGGGAAAGCTGAGAGGCACCGCCTCGCATAGGGGCTTACGGCCTCTCAGAAGTTGGTAGGCAACGCAGCTTGGGGCTCTCACGGCTCTTTAGAATCTGGGAAAGCTTGAGGCATAGACGTGTGTTTTCGGGCATGTTTGAGACTGGTCCCCCTAAACCCTAAACCCTAAACCCTAAACCCTAAAGCCCAGCCCGACGCACGACGCTCATGACATGGCATTCGGTGGTGTCGAGAAGGCTATTTTCGACCCTGCACCTGGACGCAGGTTTCTGGTATTCAGACTTGAGCCATCGGGTAGACGGTTCACATTGAGCCCTATGAAACATTATACCCAAAAGCCCCAAAACCCCCCAAAACCTCCAAAGTTCCGCTGCAGAATCTGAGTTCTGTAAGAGCTGTCGCTGTTGCACATCTAGGGGGACCCTAGACCGAGTAGAAATTAGCGTTTGGGGTTTAGGGCTGAGTCATTATGACAGCCTACATCTATGTGTCTATTGTATGTAGATTCGCAAGGAGCTGGACTTCAGGGTTTAAACTTTACAGGTGCATGGGTCGTTGCAAATGCAACTGCAGGCTTAAGCGCCAGAAGACATCACGAATCGGCTGCCCACGCCGAGTTTTCCGATGCTTCGGCGAACCTGCGCCACATGCGAAGGATGAGCTTCTGATTGGGTTTAGGGTTTAGGGTTTAGGGTTTAGGGTTTAGGGTTTAGGGTTTAGGGTTTAGGGTTTAGGGTTTAGGGTTTAGGGTTTAGGGTTTAGCGTTTAGGGTTGAGGGTTTAGTGTTGAGGGTTTAGGGTTTAGGGTTTAGGGCATAGGGCTTAGGGTTCTGTGTTTGGGGCCCTGGCGCTCTTATCTTATTGCCCAGACAGCTGTATCGCCCCCTAATGCCCACCCAAAAGCCCTACGCCTACAGCACCCTAAAGCAACCCAAAACCCAAAACCCCAAACCCTAAATTCCCTAAACCCTAAACCCGAAACCCGAAAAGCTTCCTATCCTTTAAGAATTTAAGCCTTAATGATCTTCGTGTGGGAAGGCACATATCTTCGTGGGCAAGGCACAAATCTTCGTGGCAAGGCCCAATTTGGGCCTTGAATTCAATTTGGGTCTCAAATTCGTAGGCAAGGCCCAATCGTAATTCAAACCCTAGAATAACAGTAATTACTCTGCTGAATTAGCAAAGCGACAGTATTTGAGGCGAATGCCTCAAGGTTTAATATTCAAACCTTAGGGTCTTAGGGAGCCTAAGGTTGATGGACTGCGTGAACCCTGTACTAAATCAGTGTTAGGGATCCTTTTCCTTTTTGGGTTATTGCGTATATAAACAAAAAAGGATCCTTTTTTTCTTCCTAGGGGAACAGGGATGAAGTGTATTTTCTTAGTGTAATGGGATCCTGTGCGCGGGTGGGTACTTTCCCGTCGCTTGGATAGCTGCTTGACGAGTGAGAGCTCGAGCATGACGTGCTGAGCCCTAAACCCTAAACCCTAAACCCTAAACCCTAAACCCTAAACCCTAAACCCTAAACCCTAAACCCTAAACCCTAAAGGCTAAACGCTAAACCCTAAACCCTGTACCCTAAACCCTAAACCCTAAACCTTAAACCCTAACCCTAAACCCTAGACCCTAGACCCTAAACCTAAACACTAAACCCTAAACCCTGCATCCCGGACATCTTCAAGCTCTCAAGGGTCTAAGGGCTTTCGGGTTTAGGGTGTAGGGTTACGCTAACCTTGAGCCCTACCTAAAAGCCTAAACCCTAGTCAGGATCGAGGGTGTAAGGGCTTTCGGGTCTCAGGGTGCGTCATAAAACCCCTAGACCCCTCAACCCCTTAACCCCTTAAACCCTAAACCCTAAACCCTAAACCCTAAACCCTAAACCCTAAACCCTAAACCCTAAACTCCAGTACAGGGGCTTCAGGGCTTTCGGGGTGCCGGAGGCGGCGTGCAGGGTGCCAGGGCTTCGCGGGGTTCAGGGCCTTGAAAACCCTGAAGCCCTCAACTCTCCCTGCAGGTGTAGGGTTTCGGGTGTGGGGCTCAGGGTTTCGGGTTTAGGGTTTGGGGTTCAGGGTTGAGGGTTCAGGGTTTAGGGTTTAGGGTTTAGGGTAGATGCTGAAAGCTCCTGTACTTCTCCTGCAGATTCTGCAGCTTGCGGCGTTTCCTCAGAATGGATGTCTTGGTGCGACCTCGACATCCCACTGAAACCCAAAGGGAGAGGATCACCGGGTCAAAGACGTTTCTGCAAGAGCAATCGTGCTAGTTTGCCGTCGTGCCGCCCAGACCCTATCACTAAACCCTAAACCCTGACCCCTGAACCCGAAAGCCTACGCCCTACACCTAAACTTAGCTATGCCTACAAGGGTCTAAGGAAACTCTGAACCTCGGAGCGTGAGCCTTTTGGGCTTTCATTGAAGGGTTTGGCGTTTATAGGGTTTCTGGGGTTTAGGGTTTACAGGATGTATAGGGATTGCTTTGTAGGGTTAATAGAGTTCATAGATTTCGTTTCAATAACGCCTACAGGGTTTATGGGGTGTTGGGGTGCAGGGTGCCCTTTGCCCTAAGCCCCTTATGCCTCCTCCCATTCCACAGGTAAAGGATCTGGGCCCAGGGATTCCTGATGTGCTGGTGTATGCTGGGGTTCAAGGTGTATGGATTTGGGTTTGGGCCTTAGGGGTTTAGGATTTAGGGCTCATGGTCCAGGGTTTAGGTTTAGTAGGTAGGGCTCAGGGTTTAGTTAGGGTTGTTTCGGCTTTTTAGGACCCTCAACGATATCGAATAACAAGGACGTATAGGGAACTTGTGTTCTTCACCAGTTCGGAGATTCGAGGTGTGTTAGGGATCACCGCAACATCAGGTTTTAGTCTTACGCCCTACAGCCTATAGGATATCAAGATGACCCTGAAAGCCGCACGGCATGCATTGAGAAGATTTGTCCGCGGCGAGAGACGGTCTCGACAAGGATCTTGCCACGGATAGCTTAGAATTTCATCATGACTGTCTTTTCAATATTGTCAAATTATTAAAGATAATGAGAATGAATATACAAATAAAATTGGGTTAATTATAAACAAAAATGAACCATTTAAAGTACGCTGTTCTTTGTTTGGCATCCTTTGTGGCTGCCTCCGCGCGTAGCAGCAGCACCATGGGTCGCGTGGCCGTAGCCGAAGTCTCGGCTCAGTTGCCAGGGTTGTCAGGGCTTCCCAACTTCTCGTGCCATGCGCTCATGGGCAGCGGGGCCAGCCGCAAGCCGAATGAGCCAGGGTCCACTGGCCCGGACTTGGATTCCGCCGATATCCCGATCCTCCCGGCCGCAGACGCAGAGCCTTCGAAGGATGGCTCTGAGGGCTGTGCTGGCTGCTCCATCCCTGATGCTGAGGATCGCGCCATAACAGTCCAGCAGCTGCAAGAGCTGGTGAAGCACATTGAGGCCCAGATCAAGAAGGAAGTCTGGGTGGCACCTGGAGCTGTGAAGCCGGTCAAGCTCAAGGCCAAGTCTGTGAACTTGTATGACGTGGTGGCCCGGCTGGTGAAGCCCGCGACGGAAGCCCGACGCTGCTCCTACGTGGAGCTGGTTGCAGTCGGCCCGCAGCGCACGCGCTGGTTTGTGTCGCATTGGTGGGGTGAGCCGGTTTTTCACTTCGTCAGCTGCGTTGTGAAGCATTCTGAGCAGAGGCGCCTGGGGTTGGATTCCACCTACTGGGTATGCGCGTACGCGAACAACCAGTGGGACTTGGCATATGACCTGGCCGCGACTCCTGCGGAGTCCTCCTTTCGAAGGGCACTGGATGTGGCTGACGGAACGCTGTCCATTCTGGATGATGCCGCGATTGCCTACTCACGCGTCTGGTGCAACTACGAGATGTTCGTAACCTTAGAGAAGGCCCAGGCGGGGAGATCCGAAATTTGGGGGGTACCTTATTGGGGTCCTTATTACAAGGGAATCCTACTCTTTGGAGGTCTATATTCGGGGTCCCTTTATTTTCTTAACCCCAAACCCGAAACCCTAAACCCCAAACCCTAAACCCCCAGGTGACCTCCCATCTCTTCGACATTTACACGTTCCACCAGCATCAGCCGCGAGGAATCACCGACGGCATCTCCGAAGGAGATATCGGGCTTCGTAGTACTGCGGTATGGTGCGTTGCTACTGTGCAGCAGAGTGTAGCGTAGCAGAGTAGAGTAGCGCAGAGGAGAGCAATAGCAGAGTATATTATAGTATAGGATAGTATAGTATAGTATAGTAGAGTGTAGGGTAGTACAGTATTTGTTTGTACAGTATAGTGCAGGACAGTGCAGCACAGAAAAGTATGGCATCGTACGGTGTGTAGCAAAGTGTAGTGTGCGAAAGTTTAATACAGCATATGGTATGGGACCAGAACACTGTTCAGTGTATAACGTACGCTAGTATTCCGGCATTGCGTATAGTGTGTAGCGCAGATTTAGTGCAGAGTGTATCGTCCCTGTTTATAGTGTACAGCGTATTTTCGTGCATCGTGTATAGCAGAATGAAGTATAGTTGGGCATGGATCGTAAGAGCCCTAAACCCTAAACCCTCAATCCTCAACTCTAAACCCTATACCCGAAACCCTAAACCCTAAACCCCTAATTCGCCCTTCGAAGACCAAGCGTAGTGCCAAGCCGCGACTTGGAAGGAGACAAGCGCGGATCCAGCTGGTGGTGGGAGGTTTCTTGGTAGCCCAGTGGTACCCTTTTTGCCCTTTGTTTTTTGGGGTCTAGGGTTTAGGGTTAAGGGGTGCCCTTTTTTTGGCTTCTTACAATTAAGGGTAACTTTTTTCGGGTTGCTTACTTTATAGGGGTGCCTAGAAAGCAAAGCACCCCAAAACCCAAAACCCAAAACCCAAAACCCTAAACCCTAAACCCTTCAACCGCTACCCTGGGCTACCAAGGACCGGAAGTGGAACAGAGAGAAGAACTTCCCTGTCAAGCTCGCCGAGGCTGCGATGCGAGCGCAGGTGCAGTGCGCTGAGGCCAGTGGGGTTTAGGGTTTAGGGTTTAGGGTTTAGGGTTAAGGGTTTAGGGTTTAGGGTTCTCAGGTTTAGGGTGTAGGCCGGTTTTGGGTATAGGGTTGAGGGTTTACGGCTTAGGGTTTAGGGTTTAAGGTACTAGTAAACCCTGCAAGTACGTGTTGGTACACTACAGTCGCTACAGGTAGAGTCAGTGTGACCCCTGAACCAACTAAACCCAAATCCCAAACCCTGAGCCCTGAACCCGAACCAAAAAAGTCCAAAAGTACTGGCGCAGCAGCCCTGCCTGATCCGCTCTTGAAGGCAAGTGTGGACAAGGACCGCATCAGCATACTGAACGCGATTGTCGGCGCGGACGTGAATCAGACCCCACCGCTTGAGCACGAGCGTTATGATTTCGTCAATTCCACCTTGCACGCGCGATTTGCGTTGGCGACGCTGAAGTTGGCTGTCGAGAACGAGCTGCCGCTGGAAAACTACATCCGAGTGATCTCGAGATCTCACACAAGTCGCGTTGACCTGTCGTTCAGGCAGTGTAGTTGGCAACCTGCCGGACCCGGCGCATTCCGAAGTCAGTGATTTGGGTTTAGGGTTTAGGGTTTAGGGTTTAGGGTTTAGGGTTTAGGGTTTAGGGTTTAGGGTTTAGGGTTTAGGGTTTAGGGTTCCTTGCGGCCCTTCCAGGTCCGACGAGATTCTCGCCGATACTTTGCTGACGCAGCTGGCCTCTGGTCTTCCCGGGACACTGAGAGACCTGTGCCTGAGCCTGGGTCCTCGTTCAGGAACTGAGGGTTTAGGGTTTAGGGGTAGGGTTTAGGGTTTAGGGTTTAGGGTTTAGGGTTTGGGGTTTGGGGTTTAGGGTTTAGGGTTTAGGGTTTAGGGTTTAGGGTTTAGGGTTTAGGGTTTAGGGTTTAGGGTTCCGAAACAAGAGATCAGGAATCTGGTTGACTGCAAGCAGCTGTCGGATGAAGGTATCAAGGCAAGATCTGAGAGCTTGGGGTTTAGGGTTTAGGGTTTAGGTCCTCTTGCTAGTTTACCCAAAAACCCCTCAGCCCAAGCCCCCCCCCCCCCCAACACCCCCCCAAACCTTGACACCCCCGAGGCCTCAAAAAACTCGCCAAAGACCCAGCAACCCTGAACCCGATGTGCACCGAAAGAGTTCTCAGAAGGGATCTCGGGGGTTTAGGGTTTTGGGTTTAGGGTTTTGGGGTTTAGGGTTTTGGGGTTTAGGGTTTTGGGGTTTAGGGTTTTGGGGTTTAGGGTTTTGGGGTTTAGGGTTTTGGGGTTTAGGGTTTAGGGTTTAGGGGGTTTAGGGTTTTGGGGTTTAGGGTTGCCACTCTAGGCTGAGGTTGACTTGGAATGTAGTTGTTTTCAAAATTTCTATGGGCTCTGATCCCTTCATAGCCCTGTTAACCGTAGAAGTTGAATCTTTTAAAGGCCTCTGATCCATGCCAGAATTCGGGAACTATATAGGTGCCTCACATCCCATTATATAGTTCTTTAAGGGAGTATCTGTGAAACAACTTCCCTAATGCTCTGTTTTACCAACACTCTACTAAGAACTATATAGGAGCCAAGAAGCAAGGGCTCTCCATGTGGAACACCTTAGCCCTGATTTCTTGACTCTTCCATCTTGACAGACCTGTGCACACCGAACCCCCGCACTGCTTAGCATCATTGAACTCGTACTATTCCCACACGACGATTTGTTTGTATTGCTGCCATGCAATTGCTGTATTTCTTAGCCTTCTACCGCATGAGGCAGGGTCTTTGTATCATTGTTGTCAGTGAGCGTATGCAGGGTTCCTTCGACATGCTGGTGGGTGTATGTGTGGGGGGATGCCAAACATCCTGGCTCAAATGGTCCTTCTCGGGGCCACTATTATCCGGCGGCCCCGAGTAGCCATGGCACCCAAGAAGGGAACCATAACTTTGAGAACTTAGGGTTTAGGGTTTAGGGTTTAGGGTTTAGGGTTTAGGGTTTAGGGTTTAGGGTTATCACAAGAAACCTCGGCAGGCCTTGGCACATTCAATCCGACACCTTTCCCTTGAGCGCTTGCACCTGGACGTCGCCAAGAATGACCTGACCGATGCAGCGGTACAGGCCGGAGCCCGCTCCCCTAAACCCTAAACCCTAAACCGTAAACCGTAAACCCTAAACCCTAAACCCTGGACCCTGAACCCTAAACCCTAAACCCTAAACCCTAAACCCTGAACCCTAAACCCTAAACCCTAAACCCTAAACCCTAAACCCTAAACCCTAAACCCCAAGAGAAGCTTTCGCGTCGCATGGGTCCGAGGAGTTGGCTTCTTCACTGGGGCCTTCTTTGAAGCATCTGTGGCTAAGCATAGGCGCGCCTGGGGGTCCCTGCGAGTTTCGGACTTAAAGAGTTTAGGGTTTAGGGTTCAGGGTTCAGGGTTTAGGGTTTAGGGTTTAGGGTTCAGGGTTCAGGGTTTAGGGTTTAGGGTTTAGGCTGTAGGGTTATGCGGTTATGTAGGATTTGGGGCTGAAGGCCTGGGGTTTTGGGGTAGGGTTTAGGGGGCATACATCTGAGACCTTAAGCCCTGCACCAGGCATGATCGACAACCTCACCGACGTCTCCGGCGAAAGCATCGCCCTAGCAATCCCAGCCGGCCTGGAAAGCCTCTTCTTGTCCTTCGTGGGATGCCACAGGCTCCTTGTCCGCGTTCATGGGGTTTAGGGTTTAGGTTTAGGGTTCAGGGTTTAGGGTTAAGGGTTTGGGGTTTGGGGTGTAGGGTGCAGGGTTGGACTAATTACTAATAGTATCCCCTCCCCTAAACCCCAAACCCCAAACCCTAAACCCTGAATCCTAAACCCCAAGCCCCAAGCCATACAGTTTCTCAGGATGACTGGCAAGCACCTCGGCAAAAGAATCTGAGACTTTTCTCTTTGTCGGCCTCACATACGTAAAGGGCCGTAAAAATGGCTGGCGCCCAAAGCCCTAAACCCTGAACCCTAAACCCGAAACCCGAAACCCTAAACCCTAAACCCGAAACCCTAAACCCTAAACCCGAAACCCGAAACCCGAAACCCGAAACCCGAAACCCTAAACCCTAAACCCTAAACCCTAAACCCTAAACCCTAAACCCTAAACCCTAAACCCTAAACCCTAAACCCTAGCAGATGTTTGATGGCGGCAGGGTTCCCTGCCGAGGACCCTGGAGAGCTTGGGCAAGTCTCTGCCTCCAGCTGCTCTGCAACCAGGTAGGCCTTGGGATATTTTCTACTGTCCCTTCCCAGACCCCTGGGAGGATCCAGGTTCTTAAGAATAACCCAGTAGTAGTATAGGGTACAATTTTGGGGGGTTCTTTTTTTTGGATCCTCCCAGGGGTCTGGGATATTGGGTGTAAGAGGATCATACTTAGGAAGAAGTTTTTTTTCAGAGGCTAGGACCTAGAGTAGGCCCTTATTCCCCTTTTTTGTAGGGTTGGGGTTCCGTTATAACTCCTTTTAAACCAAAAAGGGCACCCTTTGTATTCCTAGGCTACTCCTGTGTCTAGTTTTCTATTGAATCAAGGGAGTAAAGGAGGGACCCTTACAAGGGACCTTAGGGGTCCTTTGGGGTTATTTGGGGTCTATTGGGCCTTTTAAGGTATATGTGAGGGTTGCATGGAGGTTATACAGGGGAAGAAGATTAAGGGTCCCTTCGAGGGGCCCCGCCTGTCCTTTTTGTTGTCCCTGATTGGGTTTAAGAGGGTCATACTTTAGGAATCCTAAGCCCTAAGCCCTAAACCCTAAGCCCTAAGCCCTAAGCCCTAAACCCTAAACCCTAAGCCCTAAGCCCTAAGCCCTAAACCCTAAACCCTAAACCCTCAACCCTAAACCCTAAAGCCTCAACCCTCTTAGGCAGCTTCACCTGCTCTTCGGAGACTGCCCTCTGCTTGACGATGCTGCCGCGCAAGCTCTGCTGTCAGGGCTGCCGCAGGTGTCAGGGGACCAAAGGGGCCACAGGGTTTAGGGTTTAGGGTTTAGGATTTAGGGTTTAGGTTTTAGGGTTTAGGGTTCAGGGTCTAGGGCCACTCTTATAAGGGACCTTTTGGTGTTATTGAGGGTTTTTTAGGGGCTACTTAGGTATAGAAGGACAATATAAGGTGTATAGGTAGATAGGTGGATAGAAAGAAAGATAGATAGATAGATACATATATATATATATATATATAAGGGGAAGAAAATTAAGGGACCCTTCTAGGGGTCCCTCCTTATACCCCTTCAGGGTGGGTCCCAAACCCTAAACCCTAAACCGTAACCCTGAACCCTCAACCCTAAACCCACCATTAGACTCCTGCAGACGTCCTAACATGCGGGGTCCCCTTATATGGCAAGAAGCCCCGGATCCGAAAACTTGATCTCAAGGGACCTAAAGGAGTGACCCTTTCAGGGTTCAAGGTTTAGGGTTTAGGGTTTAGGGTTTAGGGTTTATGGAAATTGTATAGGGTTTGTGTCAGGAGTTTTGTTTTTTCTTGTTTTTTTTTTTTTTTGGGGGGGGGGGGGGGGGGGGGTGCGGGGGGTTTGGTTTTTGCTTTGTACGAGCTGCTCGTAATGAAACGCATGGTTTAGGGATGATGTAGGGGCTACTTAGGTTGATAGGGACTCTAGAAGGTATGTACAGAGGTTATAGAGGGGCATAGGAAAAAGGCCTAAACCCTAAACCCTAAACCCTAAACCCTAGACCTAAACCCTAAACCCTAAACCCTAAACCCTAAACCCTAAACCCTAAACCCTAAACCCTAAACCCTAAACCCTGAACCCTGAACCCTAAACCCTTCTAGGGTTTTAGGGCTGTAGGGCGATCGAGTTTTAGGGTTTTAGGGTTTTTGGGTTTTGGGGTTTTTAATGTTGTAGGGTTTTGGGGTTGTAGGGTGTAGGGTTTTAGGGATTTTGGGTTTTAGGGGACAACAAGCTTCCACCCCATTGTTCGCAAACGCGCCTCGAGCAATGGTGGAGGTTTTTGGTGCGCTGAGCTATACAAGGCTTAGGTTGGGACGTTCCCCCTTTTTTTACTAACAGTCCTGAACAGGGATTAATGGACTGTTAGTATAAGGGGGAACGTCCCAAGGTTTAGGTTTCTCAGTTTCGGGCGTAGGTTTCCTGGACCCTAAACCCTAAACCCTAAATCCTAAATCCTAAACCCTAAACCCTAAACCCTAAACCCTAAACCCCAAACCCTAAACCCTAAACCCTTCTCCTCCCCTCGCAGGTGTCTCGCCTGCGGGAGCTGGAGCTGGATTTCTGGGCCTGCGCTCAACTTACAGAGGCCTTCGGTGGCCTTCTCCCTCGGGGTTCCCGAGTGTACTCGATCCCTGAAGCCCTAAACCCTAAACCCTAAACCCTAAACCCTAAACCCTAAACCCTAAACCCTAAACCCGAAACCCTGAACCGTAAGCCCTAAGCCCCAAGCCCTAAACCCTAGACCTTGGCCGCAGGGATTGCTACACGATTAGACTTAGTAGAGGAATGAAAAGGAACAGGAAGCGACATTCATAGGCCATCTGGAGACGGTAATTATGCATAAAGAGTTAGAGACGACCAAGGTATATGGGAATTTAGATATCGTAAGTTG